GGGGGGGGCGCGGTGCTTCCTTCTATTTGTTAGTGCTTTTCAAATTTTCCACAATAAACATATCACTACATAGTGGAACAAAGTTACAAAAAAATAAGTGAAAAGTCCATCTCCGTAGGGACTACATATTGCCAGTCCCAGGGAACTTTTAGAAATAACAATTTAGAGCTGGAAGATTCCAGTAGGTCAAATCTTTGTTTTCCATGTATTGCCCGTCCTACCCCTGGGTCAAAAGCTCAGATGAGGTTGATTCAAATTCTCTCACGGGTTCTGGTCTCCTGTCTACATTTGGCCATGGGTTCACGGGCCCTGGGCCAGCCCGGGAATTCCGGCTGTCCCTCTGTGCCAAGCCCATCCTGCCTCTCTCACACGTGAGGACTCCCATGATTCTCTTCTGCCACATCTCAGGCCTTAACTCAGGGTCTGGGGTCCCTTCCCACACGCCAGGGGCGTCAGGCTGTGCTGGCCAGTACCCACCCCTCCATTCCTCAGACTCTGAGCCTGCAAGTCTGTAGCCTGCTCCCCACTCTCTCCACTTCAGCCTGACCCTCAGGCAGGCACCAAATGTCCTAAACATCTTTCAAGGTGTCACTTCAAGCCCCCAAACTTTCAACAGCTCCCCTGAGTCTATCAGACAAATGTATGCCGTAGCCAGAGGCCTGAAGCCTTCAGCATCCCCCCAGCCTTAAGAGCACCCCCCTGAAAAGACCTGCCACAACACCCCCCTCCCCACCCTGGGCCAGTGCCAGGCCTGGGTCCTGACTGGTCTCACAGTTACTGAGCACTGGAGATGGGGCCAGAGTGACCGAGAAACTGAGTTTCAAATTTTGTTGAATCAGAATTAAATTTACAATTTAAACACTGACACTTGATTCACTTATCAGAAGATGCTTCAGTATGCCTGGGACGAGTTGGGTAGGTGAATCTGCTTTTTCAACTGGACACCTCATGACATCTAAATTGAGACCGACTACACCAGTGGGATTCCAGCATCTGAAATGAGAAGTGCTGTAAGTGTAACCTACACAGTGGACTTTGAAGATTTCATTAAAAAAAAAAAAAGTCTTGTGAAAAAGAGAATATAAAATATCCTACAATTTTTATACCGATTCCAGGCTAAAAATATTTTATTGAGTCAAATAAAACATTATTAAATGAAGATTCACTTGTTTCTTTTTACTTTCTAAAATGTGGTTCTTAGAAAAATTTTAATGATATCTGGGCTTTATTTCTACTGGCGTGTGCTGCTCTAGAAAGAGGGGGAAGCAGAACCGTCCAGCGTGTCGGCTCTCAGACGCCCACCCCTCGGGGGAGCCCTCTTTGGACATTCAGCCCCTCCTCCAGGGCACTTGCCAGTAGGAGCTACAGCACTAAAGTACCCAAAACAGCAGGAACCACCTAAATTCCAAATTCTCACCCATAAGTGGACTTCTGTGGAGCCCCTAGAAATCACAAGATGAAAATGTTCACACACCAAATGTCACTGGGGGAGGTAGGGGGAAGCAGATACAGAAATCACAGATACAAAGAAACACTAAGGATTCATCCAGTAATGGCTGGGATCAAGGGCAATGTAAGTTTCTCTGTATATACTACGTTTCTAACTTCTCCGAACTTTCCACAATGAACACACATTATTTTTATAATTATGAAAACAGCAATGAAGGTTTCTTTCTTTCACAACTCACCCTGGCCTGAAGCTCTCATTCCGTTTCCTTCCTTTCTGCATGAATGCCTCTTTGGGGCAGGCTTAGGGCCACCTCTTCCAGAAAGGTGTGCAAGGTCCTGGGACACTGAGTGGCTTGAGGGAGCGGGACTTGTAAGGGCCTGAGGATCCTCCTGCACATGTAGCCCAAAGGCCAGGCCCAGGAGCCCAGCCCAGGGCCCCATAGGGCCTCACCACTACTGCAACCCACCCTCCATACAGATGTGAGAGCTGGACCATAAAGAAGGCTGAGCACCAAAGAACTGATGCTTTCAAACTGTGGTGCTGGAGGAGACTCTTGAGAGTCCCTTGGACTGCAAGCAGTTCAAATCAGCCAATTCCAAAGGAAATCAACCCTGAATATTCATTGGAAGGACTGATGCTGTAGCTGAATACTTTAGCCACCTGATGTGAAGAGCCGACTCATTGAAAAAGATCCTGATGCTGCGAAAGATTGAAGGCAGGAGGAGAAGGGGACGACAGAGGATAAGATAGTTGGATAACATCACCGACTCAATGGACACGAATTTGAGCAAACCATGGGAGATGGTGAAGGACAGGGAAGCCTGACATGCTGCAGTCCATGAGGTCGCAGTTGTACATGACTGAGCGACTGAATAACAACTTCATTTACGGAGCATTGTGTGTGCACAGTATTGGGCACTATGCCAAGAGATCACCACAAGCCTGAAAAGTCAGTTTCATTAACCCCACTGCACAGCTGGGCCAGCAGAGGGTCAGAGAGGAGAGGGCCTTGCCAGGGTCACAGGCTGGTCAGCAACGCAGGGGAGATTTGAACCCAGTTAGCCGCTGACTCTGGGCCACCGGTTCTTGGCCACCTTGCCACGTGCCTCCACTGGCATCCTACCATTTCCCCGTCATTGGCATGTCAGGGCCAAACACACCTCTCTGTGGTCTCAGAAGACCACTCCGCCAGCCACCCCTGCGCAACCCCAGCCCACACCTTCCCCCAACAACACTTCCTCAAACCCGTGTGCCCCTTGCCCTACAGCTCTCCTCCTGACTCCTTTCCCAGTGGGGATGGGGGCAAGGGGGTCAGGAAGGCAGAGGCAATGTGAAGGACATCTCTCCTGGACCACCTCCCTCTCTGCACTCAGCCCTTCAACAAACATTTACTGAGGACGGACCACGTGCCAGCTAGATTCTGTAGGGGTATAAACAGGAAGAAAGAACAGCAAGAATAGTTCCAAAGAATAGCAAGGAGAGATAAGAAAGCCTTCCTCAGTGATCAATGGAAAGAAAGAGAGGAAAATAATAGAATGGGAAAGACTAGAGATCTCTTCAAGAAAATTAGAGATACCAAAGGAACATTTCATGCAAAGATGGGCACAGTAAAGGACAGAAATGGTATGGACCTAACAGAAGCAGAAGATATTAAGAAGAGGTGGCAAGAATACAAAGAAGAACTATACAAACAAAAAGATCTTCTCGACCAAGATAACCACAATGGTGTGATCACTCACCTAGAGCCAGACATCCTGGAATGAAAGTCAAGTGGGCCTTAGGAAGCATCACTACGAACAAAGCTAGTGGAGGTGATGGAATTCCAGTTGAGCTATTTCAAATCCTAAAAGATGATGCTGTGAAAGTGCTGCACTCAATATGTCAGCAAATTTGGAAAACTCAGCAGTGGCCACGGGACTGGAAAAAGATCGGTTTTCANTACTCACTAGACCCCAGGCGCCCACGTGCCAGGCCTGGTCACCGAGTGGGGGACAGGCGTCATGCACACAGGGCTCAGTGAGCGGGGGGCGGTCCTCCAAGGAGCATGCCGTGGCGTGGAGCAGAGACCCCTCGTCACCCTGGCAGGTGACACTCCGCCTCCGGACCCCCGCACCGCAGCTGACAGAGCACTGTGAGGACCTGGCTGTCAGCGCGAGCTGGTCCTCGCCCAGCTGGGAGCCCACCAGCCTGGCATGGAGGGCAGAGAGCACTCCATGGCCCCAGGCCCAGAGAGGGTGAGTCACCCTCCTGAGGTCACGCAGCCTGAACCACGGCGGCAGACACCTGGCTGAAGTGCGTTTTCCTTTATTTGCAACAGCTACACACGTAGCTGGCCAGAAGTAGTGACCAGCAGCCTCTCCCTCGCCCCCCAAACAACGTGCCTGGCTCCTTCTCTCCCGCCCGCCCTGGACCCTCGAGGGGGAGGAAGAGCGCTGGAGCAGGGATCCAAGCCCCTGCTCCTAGACCCAGCCTTAACCACAGCCTCCGGGACCACCCGGCAGGTCCCTTGTCTCCCAGGAGCCGCTTCCCCTGAGGATGACGAGCCTTCCAGTGTTGCTGGCGGCCGCCCAGGCCTGGCACCCAGCTCCTGATGGCCACCCCGTCCCAGTGGGGCCGGGCCTCACCTCGCTCCAGGGCTCCACGCTCCAGCCTGCGCAGCGCTGCAGGTTGCAGGCCCGCCTGCCTGGGGGCTTCTCGGGCAGACCCTCGCACTCAGCATCCTCAGCAGCCTCCTGGGCACCAGCCCCATCAGACGAGACGCAGTAGACGGAGCGGGACTGGAAGCCGCCCCCACAGGAGGCTGAGCAAAGCGTCCAGGGCCCTGTCTTCCAGCTGGTGGGGAGTAGAGCGCAGTGACGCGGGCCCTACAGCTAGGTCTGAGGTCCAGGCGTGGGGTGGGGGGGGCCAGAAGCAGAGTGGGGACCCCCCCTCCCTGGCCCATCCTCTGAGCATCGGGCTGTCCAGGTGAGGGGCAGAGAGCCCTGCTCAAAGGCCCAGGTTCAACCCTGCTCACCCATTCCCACCACTGTGCCGGGTCCCTATAAACACAGAGCCTGGCTACTTCTTCCCAGGGCTCCCGTCCTCACATGGACCCCTTTCTGCTTCTCACCGGGTCACCATCACCTCAGCCAGACTCCACTCCCTCCAGGTCTAATCTTAGCTGAGGGGGGCATCTCCCCGAGGGGCCATGCTCACCCACGTGTGCAGTGGCCCTTCCTGGCCCTGGGCCCCAGGACCTGGACGATAGGGCCACCCCCACCACACATGCAAAGCCAAGCCTACCACCACCCCAAGAGACCAGCTGCCTGCCACCAAGGCCACCGGGTGGAAGACGGCACAGCCCTGCAGGGAGCCGGTGGCCCGAGGATTACCTGCTCCTGCACACACGCTGGGCCCCGGCAAGGTGCCACGCTCTGGGCCGGTGCAGGTAAGAGGTCCTTCGTGCACAAACAAAGGCATCGCCGATGCCCTCAGGCCCCTGGGCCCGCCCGAGCCCTGGTCCACTCCTTGGCATCCGCCAAGTCCCTGCCAGCTCACACCAATGGGGCCTCTGGTACCCATTCCCCCCCTGCCCCCCCGCCCCCCGTCATTAGCCTGGACATTCTGGGCACTGTGTGGGCTCACGAGGGTGGACAGAACCACCCAGGGTCTCAGGCTCAGGCCTCCCACTGCCTCCTCCCCACGCCAGCTGCAGCTGTCAGGAGCCCCCCAGCCTCCTCCTTTTCCCAACACCTAAAGCAGCTAAAGGTCTCCACTCCCTTCCCACAGAAGAGCTTGGGCCCTGCCTGGGCCGAGGGGCTGGCAGGGCCTCACCGCTTGGTGTGCGGGCAGGGCTGCGGGCTGCAGGAGCGGCGGTCAGCCGGCCGCGGCTGGGGCTGGCACAGGTGCTCGGGGTAGACCTCGTCGTCCATGGTGCAGAACACCCAGCGGGTCTGCTGACCTGCAGAGGCCCGGCCACGGCGGGCAGCCGATCAGCCCACATTCTCCCAGCGCCTTCTCTGGGCCAGATGCCCTTCTGGACACATCCCGAGTGTCACCTTGATCGAGCCTCAGTGACCCCCCTGGGTAGGTGGCCATCTCTGAGGCTCAGAGAGCTCTATCTGTGGGTGATGGAGCCCCTCTCTGACACTTGGTCACTGGCTCCAGGCCCACCCTCTGCCGCCAAAGGAATACCGTGTCCTAGGAGATGCCACTGCCTCCAGGAAGTTCGCTTAGCTAAAGTGGGGGCCCTTCGTCGAGTCCCCCCACTCCTGGGTTTCCCCAAGGTGGCCCCCCGTGACATGTAGATGCTGCAACTACTTGTCCACCTCCCACCCACGGCTGGAGTGCCTGCAGGAGAGTGCCGAGCCCTGCACACAGCCACGCGTCCCCCCCACCCCCAGGCCGCTGCCCTCACCTCCACCACATTCAGCGCTGCAGTCGCCCCACGAGCTGTGGCCCCAGCTGAAGCCGGGCTGGGGGGCGCCCAGGGGCAGGTGGTACTCAAAGCGCACGCCTGGGTTGGGCTCCTGGCTGATGAGCTGTGCAGGAGGGTCCCCATTGAGGCCGGACGCCAGAGGGCTGCCCCTGCTCACCCCGAGGCCCTCCTGCCAGCCTCTTGGGGGCCAGGTGCTCGCCTCCCCCTCACCTCAATGACCAGGGGCTCCGAGGTGGGGCCGCGGGCGTGGAGCCGCTCGGGGGCCAGGTCCCCTTCCGCTCCCCGCTCGTAGTGCAGGAGGGTGCTGGCCACGGGCAGGGCGCGGGCGTCCTCTATGGTCCAGTGCCCGTTGAGGTAGTATTCGCCACGGATGCTCTTCACCGCTGCGCCGGGGGAGCGCCCCAGTCAGCTGCCAGGGCAGGACCCACCTCCTGGCCACGGCCCCACCCCGTACCCTAAAACTGTCCTCACCCAGGAAATTCCTGCTGGCAGCCGCCTCCTCGATGCGGATGCTGGTGGCCCCCATGGGGACGATGAGGATTTGGTTGTAGCCTGGGGGGCAGAGACACTCTGGGACCACCAGCCACCGGGAAGAGTTGGCCCTGAGGCTGCCCAGCGCCCGGCCGCACAGGTGGGGCCGCCAAGTAGGACACAGCAGGGCCGGGGGCTTGGGAAAGAATGTTTCGGAAGGAGGAAACAGCTGCACAGAGGGTGGATGGGAGCACCCGAAATGATGGGAGGGGAGGGGAGGGGACAGATGGGGACGATTGGGGGAGGGGGAGGACACGCCCAGGCATCACTGGAGAAGTGGGCAGAGATCCTAGTGTGAGCCCACAGGCTCCTGGACAAGGGTTTGGTCTCCACCCTGAGGCGGGACCTCAGGCCTTTCATGACCTGAGCACCAGATCACACCTTCTCAGGGCCGCGCCAGAGAGCAAGACACCAGGAAGGGTCAGGCGACAGACCCCGGTCTGAACCGTCTGCAGACCCCATGAGGACCCCACCTCTGCTGAGGTCATTGGCCTCAAAGACGCCCGTGACAGGGTAGCAGGTTGTGCCGTCACCCCCACATCGCAGACACTTGTCCTCCTGCTTCGAGGAGTCCAGGTGGTGGTCACAGCCGATGACCTGCCAGGCGGAGATGAGAGGAGACGCGAGAGACCCGGTGGAGTCACGGTCACACCCAGACTGGAACCCTGGCTGCCGCGGAAACCATTCACTAGTCTCAGGGGCCGAGTAAGCCCTGAACCTGGCCGGTAGCTGATCATCCACTCTCCTGCCTGCACGGCACCCGCGTCCCCTTCTCCAGCAACAGCATCTCATTTTCCTTCGGAAGCCACCTCTCTCCCACAGCGTTTGGACACGGCTTCCGGGCAGCAGCATTGGGCCGCTCAGCAGATTGTACGCTGTGCTCAAGGCGTTTGGGGGAGCCCCAGGTGAGGACAAGCCAGAGGCAACCCCAGGTCGCTGGAACTCCGGGGAACAGTGCCCCCTGCCCCAGGGGGTGGCCAGGCTGGGACGACTAAAGCCTGGGGCTGCTGGGCCATCTTCACACCTCACCAGAGGAACTTGCCCAACCCTCAGCGGACCCAGAGGAGGAGAAAGCCAAGGGAGAAGGGGTTTTCCAGAGCATCAGCCAGGCCCCCGCAGCCAGCCAGCCCCTCCCTCAACAGCTTTTTTTCCCCTCAAGTCACTTTTAGTTGGGCTTCTCTAACTTGCCACCCAGAAGGTTCCTCTTATTGTTGGATTTTCAAAGGGCAAAGGTAAGAGGGCCTCAGGACATCAGTGATGCAAGGCACCTCAGAAGCTAGTCTTGAGAAGGCATCACGGTCAGGAGAGCCTCTGGTTGGGGGGCAGGTGGACAGCCTGCAATGAGCCCCAGACCAGCTGGTGGGGGTGGCGGGGACAACTCACCCGGCAGCTGCCATCCACACAGATGTCCCGTTTGCCAGGTTCACAGGGTGTCCCGTCTACAACGGCCTCCTTGTGCTTGTAGTAGAAGTTCTCCCCCTTGGGGATGCAGTTCAGCTCACATTTGTTGGGGGCTGCGGTAAGCAAGAGGGGAAAGGTGAGAGGCTGAGCGAGGTTCGAGGCCTGTGCAAGCAACAGCGAAGTGTGGGCAGGGGCTAGAAACAGACACACACGTGTGTGTGCGCACACACACACAGGGAGAGGAAGTCCTACACCATCACACCCCCAGTGGCTCAAAATCCCACCACCATCACAGGGGGAAAGGATCTTCTCCATGAAACAGATATATCTCTGGGAATCAAGTCAAGGGAAAATCCTAGAATAAGGAAAAAGCTAGACACTTGAAGTGGTCTATCTCAGCATTACTATTTATAATAGCCTAAGTGTCAGCTACTCTTTTTCTTTAATTACTATCACTAGATTATTACACCTGTGGATTGTGCTATTAAAAACTGTGATTATGAAGACTAGCCAGTAATGTGGTGAAATGTGTATAACAGAATGCAAAGTGATACCATGTAACAATCACAAATACATAAACAGAGGGAGAAAGTAATGTGAAAGGGGATAGAAAGAAATGCTAGCAGCGATCCTATGAAAGAGGTGGGTTAAGGTAATTTTCTTGTTTTTTTATATTTATCTATTTGAATAATGCTAACAGGATTGTAATCACCTCCACCACAAAGAAGGCATTCCTCAGCAACCCTTTTTAAACTTTCCTCTGTTCTAATTTTTCTGTCATATTTTGTTGTTGTTCAGTTGCTAAGTTGTGTCCAACTCTGTGACACCACAGACTGCAACACTCCAGGCTTCCCAGTCCTTCACCATCTCCTGGAGTTTGCCCAAACTCATGTCCATTGAGTTGGTGATGCCATCCAACCATTTGGTCCTCTGTCGCCCCCTTCTCCTGCCCTCAGTCTTTCCCAGCATCAGTCTTTTCCAATGAGTCGGTTCTTAACAAATTATTTTCAACATACCCTCACCTTAGGATCCAGCAGGAGCAATGAATGCAAACTACTCCACTGGGGCCTCCACTGCTAGGTAAGACCCCTCCCCCAGCCCACAGCACATAAAATATTCACCGATTTGGAATCCAGAGAGTGCCAGAGAGTTTCCAGGAGTCATCTACAGTGAGCAGTGAAAACTCATACTGGGAAGGATTATCCTACAGCACATCTGACTCATCGAAAGAGTTTTATTACACCATGTTAGTGATTTTTGTTTTTGTTTTTCTTGAACTGTATCACTCTAAAAATTAATGACCTACACCCTCCTCAAAGTTACCCAGAGCATGGCCTCCAGCCCCAGAGATTCTGAGTAAATGAGCTCTTGCCACACACCAAGCCCCGGGGGCAGCCCAGCCTGCAGTTTGCCCAAACTTGGGCACAGGTCTCAACCCCCGCCCCGAGATTCCTGCCAGTGAGGAAGGCTTCAGCGAGCAGGCCAAGCAAAAGGCCGCTCAAAACTGCACAGAACTGGCCAACGCTTGGCCTGAAACATTGTATACCCAGGGGGAAAGGATGGAAAAACCTCAAAATGGTCACCAGTGTTATGCCCTGCTGGGAGTACTGGAGGTTTTTTTTAAAATATATTTGACAAGCATCTAGAATATGGTGAGGGCTTCCCAGACGGCTCAGCAGTAAAGAATGCGCCTGCCATGCGGGAGATGCAAGAGACACGGGTTGGATCCCTGAGTCGGGGAAGATTCCCTGAAGTAGGAAATGGCAGTCCACTCCAGCATTCTTGCCTCCAAAGTTTCATGGGCAGAGCAGTCCATGGGGTCTCAAAGAATCGGACAGGACTGAACGATTGAGCACCATAATATGGTAGTGGGAATTGTGAAATGCAAAGTCAATGTAGCAAAGAGATTCCCCAAAGAAGGGGCTTACCGCAGGACAATGCAGGGTGGGGCAGCAGGGGCACCCAAGGGACCGCGCACTTACCCCCGTAATAGGGCAGCCACTTGTAGCGCCGCCCCTGGAACTCGTGGCTGTCGAACTCCGCGCACTGCTCCGCCCTGAAGTCACGGGCGCCCTCGGGGCAGCTCTGTGGGGAGGAGGGGGCTTGTGGGTCCACCATTGGGGTCCACCGTCCCCCTGCCGCAGCTTCGGGGAGGCGGGGGCCAGCCCCCCTCCAGGGGCCTTGGGCTAACGAGGCGAAGGTATCATTTCAGGCGGCGGGGTGAGGAAACAGCTGCCGTGCACCCACGTGCGGGGGTAGGGGGCTTCCCAAGGCCACTATGTCAGCTGAGGAGGGAGTCCGGGAAGCTGTCCTCCACCCCCAGAGGCTATACCTTACCTCCGTGCGGCAAGAGCGGTGGCTTCGGGTGGGACCCACGCAGCTGGAGCCGCCATCTCTCCTGCAGGGCGAGAGCACTGGGAAAAGCCGAAGCCCCACGACCCAGCACCAGCCCCCTCCTGGGGCCCTCCCACAGATCCCCCCCGACCCCCAGTTTCGGCGGGCACTGCTGGGCCAGAGGGGTGGCAGTGAGGCGGGAGCTCACAAACCCCCTTGCTGCTGCTAAGTCACTTCAGTCATGTCTGACTCTGTGCGACCCCAGAGTCGGCAGCCCACTAGGCTCCCCCATCCCTGGGATTCTCCAGGCAAGAACACTGGAGCGGGTTGCCATTTCCTTCTCCAATGCATGAAAGGGAAAAGTGAAAGTGAAGTCGCTCAGTCGTGTCTGACTCTTAGTGACCCCATGGGACTGCAGCCCACCAGGCTCCTCCATCCATGGGATTCTCCAGGCAAGAGTACTGGAGTGTGGTGCCATTGCCTTCTCTGCACAAACCCCCTTAGGCAGGTATAATGAGCCCTGTGTTGGGACCTGGGAGAAGCCCCACCCAGAAGGCTAACTAGCTTAGAGCTTGACTAACTTGGGGCCACTCTGCCTCTTAAAGCATATTCCCAGAGAAGACTCAAATTCTGTCCTTGGAGGTACAATAAGATGCAATATATACCCACTTGGTAAGGTTATTCTGCCATTTAAGGGGAGTAAATGTGGATAAGACACTTAGAACAGTATCTTCTCTCTGCCTCTTCGGGCAAAGTTTTCAGGAACCGTTAACTCCGACAGGCAGAGCGTCATCACCCCTTCTTTTGCGCCCTATGGTACTCATCAGAGTGCAGGGCACACAGCAGGAGCTTAATAAGTCACTTAGAGTGAGAAACATCTATACTTGACAAAAGGGCTGACGGCAGAGAAACCGCACACGTTAGGAATTTTTGAAGATTATTCGTTAATTCAACAAGAATTCATTACACCTGCCGGCACTGCCAGAGAAGCTAGAGACTCAGGGGTGGATGAAGCAGGAATGGCACCAACTCCCTGAAATAAGACTGTCGTTGCAATCAGAGTTTCAATATGCGGAAATGACTCGATTTCAAGTTCTCCACTAATGTTGCTCCCAGAACAAATCTGTCGTGTGGTAGGTTTTGCCCTTGTGGCCTTGGCACTGGCCCAGGACACCCAGCCCTTTTAACAAGCTGGCCCATCCCCGCCTTCCTACCTCTGGGTGTAGCAGGGGCGCTCCCGGAAGCTTACGCCCCCTCCACAGGTCCGGCTGCAGGGGCTCCAGTTACCCCAGGAGCCCCAGGTGTCACTCTGCCGCCTCACCTGGGGAGCCTAGAGGAGGACACGCTCAGCAGTGGGAGTCAGCACTCAGAGCCCCCACAAGAGTGCTCTGGGCTGCCCTGACACCCCGGCCCTGGAGCATCGCCCTCCCCTGCAAGGAGCCTGAGACGGTGTCTTGTAGAGCCGAGCCTTCAGGAGTGCAGCTCCCCCAGGCACCCCAACATCCTCATTTGTGGAACAAGCCAGCTTTCACCATAAGGAGCTGGGAGCCAACCCAGCCTTCCAATCCATCAGTGCCACCTCCCCCAGCAGCCCCTATGTGCCCAGTACAATGGGCAAGCCGCGGGTAGAGAGCTCTCCCCTGATCGTGTCTGACCATGACATCCCCTGGCTGGGCAGTCTGATCTGAGAACCAAGATGTCTACAAGCATGCCCTTGAATGAAAGCCCCCGGACCAGCAGAGCATGCCCTCCCAGGAGGAGATATAAAAGCGCAGGAGGAACAGCGTGTCATTACGTAGAACGGGTTCCACATGTGCGGGAATGGCGTCCACCCGCAGCGCCATGTTTTTGTAACTCTGGCCTAGTAAGAACTTAATCTAATCGTGTGCCCGTGTGTGTTAAGATGGGGTGGTGATTTCTTCCTGCCAAGCTGTGGCAGGGTCCCCCAGGAATTCCTCAGTATCCATCCTTCCCTTCTCCCATTAAGAGAACTCTTGACTCCTAGCTGGATAGCTGGCTGCCCTCCCACCCAAGTTCATTTCCCAGGTTTCCTGCAGCCAACCACAGCTATGTCACTAAATTCTTGTCAGTGAGATGTACATGAAAGATGCTGGGTAACAGCCTTCCTTGTGGCTCAGCTGGTAAAGAATCCGCCCGCAATGCAGGAGACCTGGGTTTGATCCCTGGGTTGGGAAGATTCCCCTGGAGAAGGGAAAGGCTACTCACTCCAGTATTCTGGCCTGGAGAATTCCATGCATTGTATATACAGTCCATGGGGTGGCAAAGAGTCGGACACGACTGAGCAAGATTTCCTTTCCTAGCAGTCTCCAGTACAGGCATATTTCAGAGATACTGTAGGCTTGGTTCCACCAGAATAGAGCAAATATCGTGATAAAGCAGATCACACAGCTTTGGGGATTTCCCAGTACATGTGAAAGTTGTTTGTACTATACTAGAATCTATTAAGTGTGTGATGGCATTAAAAATAATGTTATGTACCTCAGTTAAAAAGTACTTTATTGCTAAACAAATGCTAGCTATCACCCAAACTTTCAGCAAGTCATAATCTTTTTGCAGTGGTAACATCAGAGATCATTAATCAAACATCACCATAACTAACATAATGATTGAAAAGTTTAAATATTTTGAGAATTTAAAAAATGTGACAAAGTGAGTAAATGCTGTTGGAAAAATGACATTGATAGACTTTCTCAACACAGCAATTTGTTTTAAAAAAAAGCAGTAGGTGCAAAGCATAATAAAACAGTGTGCCTGTAATCTCCTTAAGAGATAGCTTGCGTGTTCATTTGTCCTTTTTCTTAGTCCTCCTATACTCCTTCCTGCTGGTTGGAAATCAGATGGATTTGGAGCAGCTGGAATTGAAGCAGCCTTCGAAACTATGTGGTAATTTAGGAACAGAAGTTTCAAACACTGAAGCGAAGGTACAAGAATCCTGGAGCACTTGGTGAGACAGAACATCCCTAGATTTCTGACCATGCGTGTTTATGAGAGAGAGGAATCAGGTCTTTTTTTGTTGAAGGACTGTCATTTGGGACTCTAACAGGAAAATAATCCTAATGGATACAGGTTCCCGCCAGAAGGATCTAGTACCCTGCAGCTGACTTCAGAAGTCCACATGCTACACATATATTCTCTCATTTACTCCACAGAACAACCTGACCGTCCCGGTGCATGGAAGAGAGATGCAGAAAGAGAGGGAGCCTCCAGGGACAAGTGAACACAAAGGCGGGCTGGCTGCACTCCAGGCCTCTGCTCTTGTACCAGGTTCCCACCAACCTCACCTGGGGAACCAAGGAGGACACTGGATGAGGCCTGAGGATGGACGGGTGTTAGACTTGCTTTCTTGCTGGGAGGCAAAACGTGGATTGGAAATATGCCCTGTTTGTTTGAAGGGGACTTTATTTTAGGGCATCACAACATAATAATCTCTAGAGGAAAAAATCCCTGCCATTTTCCCTAGAAAGAACTCAAGTTCTCATGCGGAAAAGCAAACTGTTCCTTACCTAGTGAGCCTCCTGCCACGACCCAGGATCTCGGGTGAGAATGGAGGTTTGCACACACCCAGATTACGCCCAGCGCTCTTCTAGCGCCCCGGTGCCAAACATCTAGTTATCCTTGGTTTATAATAAAACCATGAACCCTGAATCAGAACAACTCATACATGTTTGCTGAACCACATACAAAACCAAGAAGGAAGGGCCAACCAGATCAAAGTCTGAGCTTTCACTCTTCCAATCATTTACCCTTCACTTCTAAGTGGGCCAGATCTCCGAGCTTCTAAAAACTGGGAAATAAAAGTGTTCTGTGAAATTTAAACTGAAATTTACTTGATCAGTTCCTATTTTAAAGGGAAAGGCATTGAGTGTCGGGGGTAGAGGGTGACCTTCCAGGGATGATAAGAACCTCCACCCAGACTTATTGCTGTAAAAAGTGAAAGTGTTGGTCGCTCAGTCCTGTCCGACTCAGCGCGACCCCATGGACTGTAGCCTGCCAGGCTCCTCTGTCCATGGGATTCTCCAGACAAGAATACTGGAATGGAAAGCCATTCCATTTTCCAGGGAATCCTCCCAACCCAGGGATCAAACCCAAGTCTCATGCGTTGGAGGCAGATTCTTTACCATCTGAGCCAAGAGAGAAGACTCATCACTACAACATAAGAATTCTGGAAGCGGTCCACGGGAACTGCCGCTTTCTTATCCTGCCGGCCTCGTCCTAGCTACTAACTACCTCTGACCAAGGCCTGCTTGGATGGCAGGCTCACTCCTGAAGCAGGAGACCTGAGCCCCCCCATTCACCCTTCCTTACCCCCGGGTTGGGCCCGCGGGTCTGCACAGGCAACAAGGGGCGCCCTGCCACCCAGAGCGGTCAGGACGGAGAGAGGCAGGCATCCGAGAGCCAGGCCCGGTCCTGTAGTCTGTCTGGCAAAGGGAAGCGCATTCAGCCAGGAGCAGCACAGACACATCGCGTTTCTCTGTAATTACCTGAACCATGAGCGGCATGATGGTGTGAAGCCAGAATAAGCTGGTCCGGTCCACCCTCACTTGGGCCTGTTCCAGACAAGAATACTGGAATGGAAAGCCATTCCATTTTCCAGGGAATCCTCCCAACCCAGGTATCAAACCCAAGTCTCATGCGTTGGAGGCAGATTCTTTACCATCTGAGCCAAGAGAGAAGACTCATCACTACAACATAAGAATTCTGGAAGCGGTCCACGGGAACTGCCGCTTTCTTATCCTGCCGGCCTCGTCCTAGCTACTAACTACCTCTGACCAAGGCCTGCTTGGATGGCAGGCTCACTCCTGAAGCAGGAGACCTGAGCCCCCCCATTCACCCTTCCTTACCCCCGGGTTGGGCCCGCGGGTCTGCACAGGCAACAAGGGGCGCCCTGCCACCCAGAGCGGTCAGGACGGAGAGAGGCAGGCATCCGAGAGCCAGGCCCGGTCCTGTAGTCTGTCTGGCAAAGGGAAGCGCATTCAGCCAGGAGCAGCACAGACACATCGCGTTTCTCTGTAATTACCTGAACCATGAGCGGCATGATGGTGTGAAGCCAGAATAAGCTGGTCCGGTCCACCCTCACTTGGGCCTGTTCTCACCTGCCTCCTGCCGCCCTCCACGCCCCACCAGCTCCTCCTCCAACTCCCGCCTGGGCAACTCAGGAGCCCCCCTTCCTGCCTCACTGTTCCCGGGGGATCACCTGCCCAATGTGCTGGGGTGGGAGTGGAAACAGAGCGGAGGCAAGGAGAGTGGAAGACCCCTGTGAAGCCTCCCCTGACCACCCTGGGGTAGGGGCAGCGAGAGGCGTGATGTGTCAGTCCTTCTTAACTGACTATTCATTCTGCTCCAGCTGATCCTGGTCAGCACTGAGAATGATCCCGTGAAGGCTTGGGGATGGTGGAGAGGGGGTTCCGCCACAGCTAGAATCAGCCTGGGTCTTGGGGGGGGGTCCTGCCCCCAGTTACAACCAGCCTGGGCTATGGAGGGGGGGTGGGTCTCACCCCCAGCTACAAGCAGCCTGGGCTACAGGGAGGGGGGCATCCCACCCCCAGTTACGACCAGGTTGGGCTATGGGGGAGTAGGTATTTCACCGGCTAGAACCAGCCTGGGCCATGGGGCAGTCCCACCCCCAGCTAGAGCCAGTCTGGGCCACACCCTCCCCCAGACAGTGCAGCGGGTAAGGAGGGGTCCCAGCCCCACGGACCCAGGTGTTTCTAAGGGAGAAAGCACCTAACAGGCCCCAGGTTACTTCGGATCCCTCATTTCACCTGCATGCAACCTGTGCGTGGGCATCATTACTCTCCAATTTAAAGGAATCTAAGATCTGATGATTGCTAAGCGTCACACAGCTGCTGGAGGTGGTTCTGAGTTTCATCCTGGTGTCCTGACACTCACCATGCCCCCCTCGCCCCCTGAACCGAGACCTCAGTGCAGCCAGGCCCGAGGAGGAAGCCTGTGGCGAGGACCTCAGGGTGTGGCTGAGGAAACAAGGACCCCGGCGTAGCAGAGGTGACATGGGGCCGCCAGAAGGTGGTGAAGGGGACATGACGAAGGGGGCTCTAGCCCACTCTCTGCTCTGACTGAGGCCCACGCCAAACCCATTGCCCACTGCTGACTCCCACCCCTGCCTGCCCCCTGGCTGGAGGAGGACTTCTCAGTCTTCACTCACATTTCCACAGAGACAGCATCACCCTGCCCTCTCCCCAAGCAGTGAACAGTGTGGGTCCTTTCTCAGGGGTCCTCCTGCGGGGCTCAGGAGGCAGGGCTGTGAGTCTTCCCCCATGGAGCCCTCTCTAGGGGCGGACGGAATCTGTGCCCTCCATCCTGTCAACGTGGGAGAAGCCGGGCAGGAGCAGCTCCAGGAACAAGCCCAGCTCAGCACATGGTCCCCTCCCCCAAGGTGGGGCCTGTGATCTAGAAGATCCCCTGTACCTCCTTGGACCAGGTAGGTTCTCCAGGGAGCCTTGTCCCTCAGGCCCCTGGTAATGAAACAGTTACTGTGATCACCAGCTGCCTTCCTGTATCCACTCTGAATTTCCACTAATGCGGTAGCTGCTAACCACATGAGGCTGTTTAAATTCATGTTCATTAAAATCAAATAAGGGCTTCCCTGGTGGTCCAGTGGTTAAGGATCTGCCTGCCCAACACAGGGGACATTGTCTCGCTCCCTGGTCTGGGAAGATTCCATATGCCACAACTAAGCCTGAGTGCCACAGCTTCCGAAGCCTGTGCGCCCTGGAGCCCGCGCTCAGCAATGCGAGAAGCCAACGCAATGAGAAGCTCACGCATCGCAAGTAGAGAGCAGCACGCACGTAGCAACAGGCTCAGCCCAGTTAAAAATAATTTTAAAAATCAAATAAGATTCAGTTCCTCCGCTGTACTGACCACATGTCACGTGCTCAGTAACCACATGAACCCAGTGGCTCTTTTTTTGGACAGCACAGATGCAGAGCATTTCCATCATCTCAGAAGGTTCTATTGAACAGCCCTGCTCTAGATGCTCCAGGGGCATCTAGATGCCCCAGTGGCAGTGGAGAAGGGGCATGGCAGACCAAATCTCTAGGTCCAAACAGCCCCCATTGAGAGGCAGCAGAGTTTGGTCAATAGGCAAGTGGCAGACGTCTGGTGGGATGGCCATTTGGCCTTGCTCCTTAGCTGGTGCCAGCAAGGACCCCTCTTCCTTCCACCGTGATAGACCACCCCTCTGGACCTCCGCAGCATTAGAAGCACGCCCAGAACCTTCTGAAGGAGGGGTGGAGCTGCTGGGAAGTTGCCAATTCTGAGAACTGTTCCCTAAAGCCCAACGGGAAGTTCTGGGCACCAGAGGTTGCAAGGTCCCACCCGTCTTTGAAGGCGCTCAGGCCGAGGGTTCTCTTCCCGCCCCAACATCCAGACAGTGGCCTTCTCTTGGGGACGGCGCCGCGGCCACTGGCTCCAGCCATAGGGGGCTCCGACCCGCGACGACCCTCGGCAGGGTTGGGGGCGGGAGGAAGGGTCGCACTCACCGAGGACCCGGGCGCTGGGGCCAGCAGCAGGGGCAGCAGCAGCAGCAGCCGCATCTCGGTCTGGCCTGCGGGAGAGGCGGGGATTGGAGCGGGCGGGGCGGGAGGAGGCGCCGCCCCACCCATCCGAGCCCCGCGCTCCCCGCCGGCTCCCGGGCCAGCGCGGAGGTGGCGGCCCGTCCTCTCCCATTGGTGACCCGCACACCCGCAGAGGGACTGGAGGGGACGCTGTGGGTCGCAGTGGAGGGACTTATACAGTGAGGGAGGGCAGGCCCGTCTACAACTGGCTTCTAAAAGTTCAAGAGTAACCTGTTTCAGGGTTTCAGAGGGAAGAAAGAGCAATTTAAGAGCAGTGGTTAAAAGACAGGAGTTCAGAATCAAAGCATTCAGACTCACTGTTTTCATTTAGCAAGAGATCCTTTTTTAAAAGCCATTACATCATTTGTTTAAAAACTCGTAAAGACTTTTTAAAAAGTCTCTGCAGGTACTTTAAAAACTTAGCTTAAAAGCTTTGAATAAGTTGATTGTATCTTACTTTAAACCCAAGGCAGCATTTCTCTGCTCCGGAGAAGCTCCACAAGCAGGCTCCCTACGCCGGTGGGTGGGGGTGGGTGTGTGTACAAAATGCCTGTGTGATTTGGCGTGTGCGGGTGCAGTCTGGTGCGTGTGCGCAGTATGTGTGCAGGTGTGTACATGTCACCGTGCTGGAAAATTACATCCTCAATGTGCCCCTTTCAGTACCAAACATTAAGCAAGTACTGACTTGTATGCTTAAGTTTTAAAATCTGTAACTCCACCATGGTTCTCTTTAATTTTCCTTAAGCATAAAATGACTTCAGTTTGCAAGAATAAAATAGAGCGTATTAAGCCAAGTTCAGCCAAATATAACCTGGCACATCTATACTGCGTTAATTTAGTACCAAGAGTGATTCATGTAGGCATCATTTTCACTGCAAACCAGGGGTTCCCGGGGCTGGCGGTGTGAGGGGTGGAGGCCCCGCCTGGGCTCTGCGACCCCTCGTGGAAGAGCCGCGCGCACGAGGGGAAGCCGGGGTGCCTGGGAAGCCGCGTGCTAGGGCTAACGACGAAGATGCTGCTTCTCTGAAGTAGAGACTGCCTTCGCCGGGCGGGGACGAACGCAGCTAAAGGAGAGACAGCAGGGAGAACAGCAGAAAAGAACTTAAGGAATTGCTACTGGGAGCGGCGGACGTGCGCCGAGTGGTCTGAGGCCTCGCACCGGACGTCGGGTCCCCGCGCGCCCTTCCCGGTCTCCACGCGAGGATGTCCCCTGCGCCCGCCTCGCGGGGGAACGGGCCCGCTGCAGCCCCCGAGGCGGAGAGGGGCGGCACCCGGCTCGGGCGCTCCAGGGCCACAGCCGCGGCAGCACCAGGGTAGAGGGGCGCGCGGTCTCCGGGACTCTGAGCTCCGGAACGGCACCCGACGGAGGGAAGCGCAGAGGGGGCCGGAGGGTTGGCGTGGGCCGCCCGGGGTTGCGTCTGTTTCAGCCCGGCCCTCTGCCCTCTGAGGCTTCCTTTTCGCTCACGATGTCCCCTATCCCGGCGCGAGGGCCGCGGCGCGGAGCGGGCTCCGCCCCAGCGACGAGCCGGAGGCAGGTCTCCTCCCAGGACCCCCACTTCTTCCGACACTGCTCTCCCCGGCAGCCGGGTTGGGGGTGGGGGGCGGGCAAATTCCTGCAGCAGCCTGGAGGTGAGCCGCCCCGGGCCCACGGGTCCTGTTCCTCCGCCTCCTACCTGTCTCCAGGAGCCTCGCGCGCGCGGGACCGGCGGGGCCGCTCCGTCGGTGCCCGCCCAGCCCCAGTCTGGGAGGTCGGCCCGGTCGCCTGGAACGCCGGCGGAGGCTGGGCTTTCTCTCTTCGCCGCTGGCGGGCTTCCTCCCCGCCCATCTCCCCCTCATCCAGCTCTGCTGTCATCCATCCCCGGTGACCTGCGATGCCCAGGGCCTCCGTCCTTCGGGTCTGTGCCGAGGGTTTGCCCTTCCTATTTGCTGCTGGCACCAGTCCCATTTCCTCTGTACCCGAGTCTTCCCGGTGTGTGCCATCCTTCCTCCGCACCCGCCTTACAACACAAACCTGTGTGCAGCCGCCTGTCTTCTCCCCCTGAATTCTATGCATCCTCACGACCATTTCCCACTGCCTACAATGCCCTCCGGAAACCCCCTCTGACCAGGCAAACTCCTACTCATCCAAGATCTGCCCAACACCATCCTCTCTAGAAGCCTCCCAACACCACCCCAGGCAGCTGGTGGCCCCTGCTTCCTCAATCTCCACCTCTGTCTGCTGCAGTTCTCTGGTGCAATGCAACACCCTGCCCGGCTCGGAGTCTCCCGGTCAGCTCTGAGGTCCCTGACGGTAGAGCCTGCATCCCTGTCACCTGTGTTCACAGCACTAGTTGGGATCAAGTAGGAGCTAATTTTCCTTCCTACTTGTCTTTCTTTTTCTTAACCAAGGCACTCTGTCTTGTCTGTCATTTCTGTCTTGGAAACTGGAAATCATCTATCCTCAGAAAACTAGCCCTGATCCTGGGACATGTCAGAGGTGGGGTGATCACGAGGCTGGCTCCTTTTCCCTCATCCTCTTCTGCCTGCAGCCCCTTTCCTAACCCAGCTGTTGGGCATTTCCCCTCCTGGCCTTCTGAGGAGCAGGGAGCTTACCCCCTCTTCAGACCTGCAGCTCCGGCAACTCATCTTCTTGGACCATCACGGATGCTCAGACAAAATGCTTAGTAAAACCTAAGCATGTGAAATTTGGCCCATTACTTACCTATCCTGAAGAGAGGAGATGCAGCGGCTGTGCAGCTGGGGCCCCCTGGGGACGTGTGTGAATTCTTACACAAAGATAAAGCTTGGCAGAGAAAAGGAAGTGGGATTACCCCAAACCTCTCTAGAAAAGGAAAAATCGTTTCTCCCATTCAAAAAGCCCCACTCCCTGCCTGCCTCAGCCAGGAATTTTCTGAGCTTGGTCAAAGGTCCCTGTTAAGAGGGAGGCAGCTGCTTCTCTTCCTGTGGGGGGTGGGCGGCCAAAGCACCTTCCTGAGCTGTTTATGCGTTTCCTCTCTGATCCCTTCTGCTCAGAGGCCCAGGTTTCTTACCCCACACCTCAGCTGCAAACGAGACCCAGAGGCTGGACAGGCAGGTCCCTGGACCCACCAGCCGGGCTCTAGCCGTTCCTGGTTAGGGCAGGCACTTGCCTTTAAGCCTCGCGTCCCACCACCTGAGGGACTTGGTGACCACAGGGCCCAGCACACACAGTCCTTTTTTTTTTTTTTAAGAGATCTTGGTTTTATTTATTTATTTTTAACATTTATTTTTATTCATTTGACTGCATAGAGTCTTACTTGTGGCATGTGGGATCTAGTTCCCTGACCAGGGATCGAACCCAGCCCCCCTGCATCAGGAGCGCAGAGTCTTAGCCACTGGACCACCAGGGAATTCCCAACACACAGTCCTTGTTCAATAAAAAGAACGGTATGCACAAAAATGTGGTGGTTTAGAAAGAAGATTTTTTTTTCCAGGAAAAAAGTGTAAGGCCTCTCCCCTAGTAAACCCCCCTCCGCCCTGGTCCTGTCTCACCCTCTGTGGCTGCAGCCTGGGGTGGCAGAAGGAGCATCGCCCTGAGAGGCAGACAGCTGGGCTGGGAGCCTGTCTGCTTCTCACTGTGTGTGAACTCGGGCAAATCATGTCACCTCCTTAAGTCTCAATTGCTCACTTGAGCTCATGTCGAGGGTGGTGGAGAAGAAAAGTCACTGGCTTCTATAAAGCCGCTACTAGGTGCTCAATAAGAGTGAGTTCCTTCTGTCCCATGCTCGCTCCCTCCACCTCTATCCTGAATTCCCGACATCTTGATCATCCTTGTAGATTGCAGATCCAGGGACACAGCCAAGAAATGAGTGGCCAGACCTCTCTGTGAGGCTGGGTTGGGATCGAAAGCTGGAGAGGAGGGAGATGGCAAAACCCCAAGAGCTCCTGCAATGCACCTCCTCCAGGAAGCTTTCCTTCCACCCACCTGCACTCCCATGATGCAGGGTTCTCCTAAGCGCTGTGAACCACTGCAGTGACACATTTGTCTCTCCTCCTCCCTCTAAGTTGTGAACTTTGCAAGGGCAGGGGTCTGTGTTTTTCCTCTTTGGACCCTGCACCAGGGCTCCGTAGTGCTCCTCCAGAGAGTGGTGCAGGAAACATGGTTGACTGACAACCTCCTGCTGCCACACCTCAGGTCTACACCACTCTCTGAAGGTTCTCTTTGCCCTGGATCCCTTCTGTTTATCTTTGCTGCATTTTCCCCCAGTAGATCTCTTGTGCATCTAACCTGACCTGACACGTAGGCCTCTTGGTTACAAACCACAGAAAAGGACATAGCTAACTGAGAAAAGTTCGTCAGAGGAAAGATACTGGGAGCTCATAGACTTGACAAGAAGCTGGAAAATCAGCACAGAAATGGGTTGGAATCACAGAAGTGGTCACAGATCATGGCCCAGGACCAGTGCTGGTTAGGACGTCCCGCTGGATACTTGACTGCTGCCACCACCACTTTTAGGCAACACGGACCCTCGTTGCTCCCAGAAAAAAGCCCCAAATGGCCCTTGCAGACTCTAGCCCCAACAGGAGCATGCTGGCGCCCCGACCTCCAGGACCTGGGAAACAAGACTTGGCAGGTCCCCCAGATGGCATTTCAGGCGCTGGGTTACCCCAGAGAAGAAATGTGGCACCAGCACTCGGCTAACCTGAACGTAGAGAACACTACTTCTCTCCTTTCTGCTCTTTTGGATGGTGGTTTATTAATTTACTCATTCCTTGAATACCTGAGTGCCTACTCTGCTGGAAACTGGGGAGAATAAACATCTAGTGGTGATAAACATTTAACAACCAGCTCCCTGGAGGACAGAAAGCACTGCTTTGTAGCACTGATCAGTTTCCATGGCGTAAACACCCCATGGCTCTTTTCAAGCTACTGAGGCAGTGTCACTAAACATAGGGTTGCACTGTCAACTCTCCCCAGCCATGGGCGCCAACACACAGACTGTCCTGCCCTTGGGGACTTT